CTCCACCAGGCCCCGGGTCTGGCTAGCGCGCTAGACCTATCGACACCTCGTCGACTAGTCCTGCGCGCACCGCCAGACCCTGGTGTTTGGTTCGCGGGGCTTGCGCCCTACCCCGACACGAATGCCGGAGCGTTCCCCTATCCACCACCCGGGGACGCGCCACGTCGGAGTTCACCTCTCCGCCCACCCGGACAACCGAGCAGGTCCGTGGAGCCCAACTACGCCCTACCCTAACTCCGACAATGTAAATACTGTGAGTGATATTTCTTCTGAAATGCCTCCATACTTAGACATTATGAGTTAGAATCATTTGGCGCGAATAGAGCTTCTTTACAAAGTCAAGTGTCAGAATGAATAGTGAGGGGACATAAACGGCATTTTAGCAAAGCTAGTGTTGCGCCAGTACACCGGCATAGTATCGGATCTGCCTAACAATATTAACCCCTTTAGAGTCAAGAAAAAACTACGTGTAATATTAGAATTGGCATAGATTTTACTATGTGTGCAAATATTTTAAATTTATATTTTGTTTTCATATCTTGCGTACTATGTTAACTTATCATATGTGTTATAAAATGTCTCTATTATGCAAGTACATTATGTTGTTTAACAGAGATGTGTCATAAACGTAAGACTATGGAAAATATGTGCATTAGTAACGCAACGAAAAACTAGTAACGACGGACTAGGGTTAAAAAAAATTGAATTGCGAAAAAATGTTTTTTTTTTTAATATTATAGTAAAGACATTCATTTACGTGATTACCGGTTAAACTTTGCTAAAATTTATCGAAATCCGGAGATACCTTTTAACGAACATCCATCCATACATCTAAACATTAGCATTTATAATAGTAAGATTGCTATTAAATTATTCAAACTTTCGTGAGACATTATACTAACGGGCCGCGTCCGCGAAATAATACCAGTACCACTCATCCTGATGAAGGGCCCCCGATGGGCTCGAAACTAGTCGGTGCCGCCACCGGACGAATATACGTGAGTGTTTAGTCGTGTTTATATATCAGTTTAGTAAGATTGCTTCTAATCTAATCTTGTTTAGTTACAAAGAGGCTTTTAAATACATTTTCGTGAGCATAATTGTTATTGTTTAAATGATCGTTTTACACGAATTTTGATTATAAGTAGATTTTCGGGAAACATTTGCATGAGGAGAGCTGTTATTTTTTTTTTCACGGTCACGTTTTCTGTGCGGCACGCGACGAAGCGTGGTGAATAAATGAGGCGCGGTTTTTCACATTTTTAATGTTTTTAATTAATTTTTTTTTCTGATTACAGTTTAACGGATAAGTTGTAGGTTTATAGACAAATATATTTTATGTAAGTACATGTTACAAATTATATCTTTTAAGATCAATTATTTAGAAAAAGGTTACTTAAACTGTATTTTAAAGATCCATTTAATTGTCGTATGTTTTTACTTCCGAAATTCATGTTCAAATATATATTATCTTTGACAAAATACGACTAACGGTAAATTATGTTTAAGTCCTATTCCAAAGTTTTTGAAATCAATTGCGTTTCTTAAAAAGTTAATCATCTCGTATCCGTTACGGCTAGAGATGACGATGTTATAAATTAGTTCAACGACTCAATACAGACTACACGAGTCATGAATCACGCTGTCGTAGCAAAATAGGACATATAATATTAAAATAAAACATACATACAAACTAAGTTATTTAAAACAGTAACTTTGAGTCTTCACTGTAATGTGTCTTGTCAAAAATTGACATCATTATCAACCTGCCCTTATCCCTACAGAGTGTCGGCACAGTATGTACTATTCCTCCATACATCTCTATCAGCTGTCTTATCTGTATCTATACATTTCCTACTGTTAGGAAGAAAGACGATGTTTCGGTGTATCGGCGCAACACTAGCCTTATTAAATTATCAACATGTCCCCTCACTAATCCATCCATACTTTCTTTAGTCTTCCTCTACCTTTGCAGCCATCATTTAAACTCATTTCTTTTTTTCTTGGCAAAAATTATATTACAACAATATTGCCATATCTTAAATTCTCTTTGAAAAAAAAAACAGAGTTAGAAGTACACGCCAGAACAATAATGTTCTTATGCACATGTCACGACACTTGAAATTCGCAAATTGAAATGTTGACATTAGCCACTATTCTAGGCTTGACATCTTGTTACACTGTAGTTAGATGTAATTTTTTAAGAAAAATAACACATTTTTTTTTCAATGGATATAACAGCCGGCATAAACATTTCTTAAAACTTATATAAATTGTGAAAATTGTTGATTTGTTTTAGACCATGTCCTGTGACACTTACGGCGTGACGAATTGTCGCTATTAAGCTATACCGCTTAAAGTATTAACGAATTAAAACATTGATTCGATAATAAACGCGTCCGTGTACGCTCAAAAGGGATGCGCTTTGTCTCTATATCCGTGTCGAAACTGGATGAGGCCGGCCGAAGCGAGCGTGGTGTCCGCCGCCACGGGGGACACTTCCAGCCCATTGTTGTTTGCTTGTTCACTCGACTGTGCCATCACCAAACCAATTATCGATGTACTTCTCGCGTTGATAAATACAATAGCTTAGTATAGTTGCATAACTAATTGTCTAACATTGTTAACTACTATGTCATTTGAAAACAAGAAGATTAGACAGGGAAGGGGAAGTTTAGGAAAGGGTAATATACTTCTGTACATCCTCTCTTCAGCCCATTAAAAATGGATAACGCATCTGCAACCTTGCAAGTCATATTCTTTGGACTTTATAAGTGATTGCATTTGCCACCTACAAAAAAAATATTTAATCGTTCAGCCCCATTCTTAGTTGCCCGAATATTTTATATCCAACTTGTTTGAATAGTTTCTCATGAAAAGTCCTGCTTGATCGTTCACAAGTATAGAAACACATTTTTTATTCATCGAAATTGGCAGAAACACGCGCGCCGTCGACTTTACGACCGTGATCTTCAAAATATTTTCAATGTTAAACGTCATAAAAAGCTCTTGATGTTACGGAATTAGAACTATCTTGCAGATATGTTCGCGAATATGCCTTTACAACGCACTATGTTTCTTTTAGCGGATGACCTTGTAAATCAGCGCTAGTAATACCTAAGTTATGGAGCGCCGTCACTTTCGTTCGATTCTAAATCAGAAAAATGTACTATAATGCTATAGAAATGTCAAAAGTATTATAATTATTTTTTATTTACGGGAATAGCATAACAACTGCAACTTTTTTTTGTTGCAGACGCGTCCATTGCCGTTGGAACTCAGCGTCCAGCCAGTAAGAAAGTTTCAAGTCCGCTCCAAGGCAAGAATACATCGCCGGCCGCCCGCATAGGATGGTAGAAACTGACCCCGGGCCCAAAAAACCTCACAGTAAGTACCAAACTGTAGAATACATGATATAAGTACCCCACGTCCGAGTTGGCACAAGAGAAATTAATTACTGCATGATCGGCTGCTTTATCAATTCCTTCTCAGGGATTACGGAGCTTATGTTTTTAATAATCCCGACTTATTCAGAAGTGAATTTTAATTCTTTTGTGACCTGTTGCCTACATTTTTTGACCGATTCTGACAAATAAGATGTCATTTGATTCGAATTCTTCTCCTCAGTGTCAGTTGATATACAGTCAGTCAGATTTTTTATGTTTTATTTAACAAATTGTGTTTAAATACTTTGTTGCTGCAGAACCTGTCTATTGTGCGTGTAGTGTATAGATAAGTATCCACGGCGTTATGTATTGACCGCTGTTGATCATATCTATTCCCTTGTTTTGTAATTATACCGTGACATAAGAATGCAACGTTAATTATTTTCGAATTATTAAAATAGTCCTTTATAACGAGTTACACAGTTCCTAAAGCTAGGAATACTTGTAAACCAGTAATTTATTTAAAAAAGGAACTCCAATTAAGAATAATATGGCATCCCGCGAAAAATACGATATGATTTTTTTTTTTTTAGAAATTTTAAGATTTGATTTGAAATAGTGTTTAAGATACAAAGAAGTATATTTATGTGTTTTTTTGTTACAGATTGTGATGTAAAAAACGACCTCCAACTAAACGGCCCAGGTTCCAAAACCGTTGACCTAGGTGAGTATTAATTTTTTTTTTTTTATTTTGGGAAAGTTTTTGTGGTACAAAATTGTCTTGTTTACTAATTAGATTAGGAACAGCAGATATTTTAGCAAGTGATTAATAAACGTATATGGTCACAATTTTGATACATTTTTTTTATATTCACGAGTAAAATATGGAGAAGTTGAAGTCATTCAAATGTTAACCAGTATCATAGATAACCTATGGATATATAATCCACGGCACAAAAGTGTAGCGATGAAAAAACTCCCGTGACCTTGATGTGGTAAATTTCCTAAATTTTGTAATTTAAAATCCCAAATGACATTTCTTGTAATAAATGCACCATCTATAAGTTTTATATCTATGACAAGTAAGTAGTCAATAACCTCGTAATTTTTAGTTTTCTCGACACAATGAATATCCTCATACTTTCTTAGACGTATTTTAATGCTGTTTTCAAATTATCTCGCTTAATTAATCTCTAAAAATAAATTGATTCTCTATCAAAGCATCATTAAGCAAACATAGTTATCATCTGACGTATTCAGTACAGAAATTGGTTACACTAGATATGCGAACAAGGAGGTTCTACTTTAGAATCGAGAAACGAGAAGAAAAAATAACCTTGCCTAATTTTTAGTTCTTATCTGTTCGTCCTTAGGTTAATTAAATTAATTTTATAATGTTGTAATTGTAACACAGAGGTTGGTAAGAAGACATTAGTGCTTAGAACCTTACTTCTTACTAATATTATAAATGCGAAAGTTTATATGGATGGATGTTTAGTAAAATTTCGCACACATATAAGAAATAGTCCGGAAGAACACGTAGGCTACTAATTAAGTTTCTTTTAATACCGCACGGACGGTGTCACGAGCGACAGCTAGCTAGAGTAAACGAAATACTCCATAGTCAAAGTTCAAAATAAATAAGACCTCATGTTTGTACGAGTAACGTTCATAATATTCCTACCCTTATCATTTGCTACACCACTTATTACCTAACTTAGTTATAAGTTACCTAAGTTACTTATTAGTAAAGTTGTTCAGTAGTTTATTTTTTATTTTCTTTATATTTCAGGTATAGTACCATCGCTGAAAACATCAGCTAAGTGCGACGCAGAAAAAGCGCCAAACTCTGAAAAAGCTGACTTCGAGCGGGCTATCGAATTAACTGGTAAGATATAAAAACCCATTAAGAATTATAAAATATAGCCTATGTTCCTCAGGGACAATAAATCATTCTAATTGTGAAATAATTTTGGAAATCGATCCAGTAGTTTTTGAGTTTATACGTTATAAACTCTTTGTAATATAAGTGCAGATGTACATATGTATTGTTAGGAAGAAAATTCGAAAATGAACCAGTGTATTGACTTAACACTATCCTAACTAAAATGTCGACGTTTGAGTCCCCTCACTATTCACTCTGACACTGGACTTTGAAATGAGAGCACGTCATTCGCGCCAAAGGATTCTAACTAATAAAAGGATACTAAACTAATAATGTCTGAAAGTATTTAGTATATATATATATATATATTTATATATATATATATATATATATATATAGATATATCTTGAAATACGATAAAGTACCTAAAATATACAACAATTAGTACAAGAGGTAGTTTTTTTGTTGAATTGCAACATACCATAAATCGATACAGTGGAAACAAGATCTTATTTCGTCATTAAACTGCGTTTTAACCTTCGTCGCTTGTACTCGGAAGTGTGGGGTCATTTTCCCGCGCAATATACAATTTGTTTCATATATAAATATGACATTTTGTTTACGCGTAAGATTCACATATATGAAAGTATATATTTCTTAATCTAATATATTATGTGATGACATTTGTACCAAAAGCTGGAAGCTGGAAGTTGACCAATACTTATAGTCTTGAATAACTGTTGCTAATATTTGAAGTAGAAGTTCGATTATTTTATATGATAGAGGTAAAGTTTGCAGCATCATTAGTTACTGCAGTAAACTTCACTTCTTATTTTATTAAAGCCTATGGGCAGTGGTGATTTCGTTGTTAAGTGATTTCAGTTAACCTATTTGCCAGCTTCTAAAAACGCGCTTTTTCTTTTGCATCACTTATTCCTTTAAAGGCCTGCAAGGCATCTGCAGTTCCTCTGGTCTTGCGGATGTTCTTAATTACCTCTGTGTTCCCGCCTCTCGTTTGCCTCTTTGTCTTACAAAAAAAAAACATAAATAAAAAGACACGCGTATAAGTGAAATGTCGTAACGGCAAAGTTTACACGTGGACAGAGTGGTGTCATACAAACAATGTAATGGAGACTGATCGTGTGAAGTTTTATGAATGAGGAGAGCTTACGATGCATTCCGAGGTTGGCCGCAGTAAACAGGCCACGTCTTCCTGGAACGGCTTGTATACAACTCTATTGACAAACATTGTAGTACCAAACGTAACGTAAACAAATGAAAATCACGCGATACAGGTTATAGAAGCCGAGGTTATTTAAAAGTTATATATTTAACAAAAAATTATAAAGTAAAAGTAAAAAACAACTTACCATTACTTAACATAAACTTATACTAATCAAATTGGTGAACAGTTTTCGTAAACATATAGTATAAATCGTAAATAATTTTAGATGTAGTGCGCAATGATCTTGCGCCCCCAAAAATTTTGGAAACGCCTATACAAGTGGCTTATATAACGGGCTTGGGAATCACATGATTATAATTTTGTGTTTGTGCAGGCTATGGCCGCTTCCACTACCTGCTGCTCGCCGTGTGCGGGCTGGTCAGCACCTCCGAGGAGATGGACGTCATCTCGATGTCCTTCATCTTGCCCTCGGCGCAGTGCGACCTCAACCTCACTACGTATACCAAAGTAAGTACCACTACTTTCAACCTACCATACGACAATTTCTAGACAATTTTACGACACACAGTAAATATATTCTTAAGGGCAAAAAATAGTTCTTCTTCTTCTTCTTCTAGTGCCTCTTCAGGATTGAAGGTTGACCGCTAACTTGGGATATTTGGTTCTGTCAAGCGCAAGGCGAAACAGTTCCTCCACTGACCTAATCCCTGTCCACTCTATAATATTACGTAGCCACGACTTTTTCCTACGTCCAGCACGTTTTGCCTAAAATTTTGCCCATCATTATCAGCTGAAGTAACTTATACCTAGTACACATTAACCCTTAATTGCATCTTGTTGCCAAATGTATACATACCACGTTTCACGTTATTTTATTGAAGTCGTGTGGTATGTGTTTCCGAACGCACTTTGACGACCATAGATAATGAGTGTCAAAAAAGAAATTATGCAAGTTTCGGTGGCGAATCTATTTTTTTTTGACAGTTTTATTTGGCGGTCGACTAAGTTTATAGAGTTATAAGAAGCGTCTCCGTAATTTTGTATTCTTTGATACCATGCATTTAAGGGTTAAAAATTACGATTTCTCTCAAACTAATTGTTTTGCGTTAGGACGATCGACCCAATGGGAAACATCCCTCAAATTATTAAAGCTAGGGTTTATAAGCTTCCTTTCAAGCCATGCATTTATGTCTATAGTGTGAATGAAACTGGAATATTATAATAGTATGTGAAATTCTGAACACAATGTTTATCTATATTAGGTTTAGGAAACGCATCGGATCATTTGATTTGTTTATATTAAGGCTCTAGTTACCGTTGTTGCATTTCCTGCAGTATTGTCTTATCTCTTGTCGCTCCATAAGTGTACGGTAACTGACGTAAAACTGTCTCTACTAAATCTAGATCAAAATACTGCTAAGGTGAACATTAAACCAGCACACAGTAGGACATTATTGACTGATTTTATTATTACCTATTCAAAGTTTAAGTTAAGTCAAAGTTAAGCGATTAATGAATTCAATATTGTTTAAAACAAATCAAAATATTTTTGTTCTCTGCCGAATAAGTAGAGATTCTAAAGGTAACCTTATTAACATTGGAGACACTTAGCGCTGTGATAATGAAATTCGCAAATATTATACCGTCTAAAGCAAACGCGATGAATAAAAATCATAATACTTTACAAACTCAAAAACTCGCATCTATAAAAAGCACAACTCATGAATGTCATCACCCAGCGTTTTTAGTTTTTCACTTACAAACACGTTTGTCATTCCGTCTCATACAGAGTCGCCGAGACTCCCTGTTATTGTAGATTTACACTAAGCGGTCATTTTCAGTTTAAACAATCATTTAAACTTAAGTGTTGCTCCATGATATAATTTGCGTCCTCTTTAAAATCGCTACTTTATTCCAAACTAGCTGGCACCCGCTACTCCGTCCGCGCGGAATAAAAAAACACATAATATTGCCTATAAGTTCTTCCAGACAATGTTCTACATCTGTGCCAAATTTCAACAAGATTCGATGAGTCGTTGAAACATACCATCAAACAAACATCCATTCATTAATCCATCTAAACATTCGCATTAACAATATTAGTAAGATTAATGCCTTAATTTTGTAATCGTCCACTCATCTTTTACATGATTCTCCAAAGACTATCAGAATCTAGTACCAGAATAATATCGGAAGTAGATGTTAAGGAAATCAAACGCAACACATCCTATGTGACACAATATGACGCACATACAAAATAATGTTTAGGAATGCCGTTTATAGATCATGCAACCTTGTCGTTTAATATGTATGCGTATATTTATTCTAAGAAGGCCATTTAGTGAACGTGTGAAATTTGCCTATGATATTGGTCAAACTATTCGACGTATAAGTTTGTAAACACAGGTGACGTGATTTGAGTTACACTTATTACAACAATCCTTGTTATAAACATCGCTAAAAATTTATATCTATTAAAATGCAATGTAGTTTTGTGGACTTAATTGCTCTTCGAGTCACATTTGCTGTCGAATTTGATAAATAATCTTACTTAACACGCGATGTCGATGTTGCCGAAAATTTAATAGTTAAGGTAACTGTTACATCGTGTGCAACACCGATTTTACTGCCCTTCAGTTGGACAAAATATGGTATCCGCCATTTTGTTAAGGCGGCCATCTTAGAATTTTCATAGTATAGCATATTCTGACTCAGAAACAAAAGAACTATACTGCGTTTAATAAAATTACCAACAACAATACTATAACGCTGTCTCCCAGAAATTAACAAATGATTGTGCGGTGCAGGGATGGCTGAACAGTATAATCTTCATCGGGATGATGGTGGGCGCGTACGCGTGGGGCTCCGTGGCGGACTCGTTGGGCCGCAAGCGTGTGCTCATCGCCATCTCGATTGTCAACGCGCTCGCCATCGTCGCCTCCTCCTTCAGCCAGAACTACGAGCTCTTCATGCTGTTCCGGTTTATCAACGGTGCAGCGTAAGTAAATTTATCCAATTTTATTACTTGTATTACAGTATCAATTAACATTAGTCACAAAGAATAAAGTAAAGTTTATATTTTTATAGTTAAAATTGTTATTTCGTATTTAGAAATCAATCAAAATTCTTCAATGTTTAATTGTCGTTTTTGCTTTTTTTTCGTTTTTTTTTCTTTTTTGTTACACTACCTAGTGTTGTGTAAATGGTGTGAGAACAAAGGGGCCAGCTGAAAACCAGCGTAGGGATGGTCAAGCCCTCCCTGCACCAGCTGAGCTGGCCACCTTTTTTTGCCACATCCTTAATTTATTTAATCTAATTTATTTTTTTGTAGTTTTTTTTTGTTGTTTGTGGCAATAAATAAATATTATATTCTAAAAAAAAAAAAACAAAGTAACAAAATGTAGTCTGTATAAACCCGATATTTGTGACGGTTCTTGTGGACTCCTTAAATCAATGAACAATATTTCAAATCTTTATATTGAATATTTATCTATACATCAAGTCAAATATCATAGATATACAAGTATTTTGACTTAGTCTCAGTTTTTTGCACAGCACAGAAATACTTTAAATTCTTTTTACATTCCATTGGAAGCAAAAACTACTACTACTTTAAAGTAAATTGTTAAACATGATTCCAATTTGTCGCCGACAAATAAAACAATTTTTTATTCAATGTTTTTAACTATTCAATCAAGGAAAGTTTCCTTTTCGGCTGCTACACGATTTTAGCTTTAGATTACTATCATTCTAACAAATGAATATTTTTTTGTACAATTCTACAAGGAAAATATTTATTTTCGATTACTTTATACCTGGTCGTTTTTGTTTTTTCGATATTATGGTTGTGTTTCATACAAAAATAATAAGGGAACTCTAAATTGTAAGGTAAAGCCATCACTAAAACTATGGAATATCTTGTTTAGCGACAATTACGATTTATTTGCAGTAAACAAATAAAATAGATATTTTATTGTGGTGAGAAAATAATTACAAAAAATATTTGATACCTAGTTATTTATATTTACGATAATGTAATCAGTTTTGGTCGTATATAGGAACATTTTTTTTATTATGTAATTGTAGGTTGGGTGGGTCTGGTCCTGTGATTTGGTCATATTTCGCGGAGTTCCAGCCGAAGAAGAAGCGCGGCGCTATGTTGAGTTTCATGGCCGCCTTCTGGACGCTCGGCAACCTGTTCGTGGCCGGCCTCGCCTGGGTCATCATTCCCAGTGGTAAGTGGCAAACAATTATCGATAAATAATTTGCACAGTTATAGCTCATTTAATTAATTTTAAAATGATATTAAATTCTTTTTCCAGAAATCGGAGGAACGACAGGTGGTTTTGTCTACAACTCTTGGCGTATCTTCTTGTTAGTGATGTCCCTACCGTCTTTCCTAGTCGCGGCGCTATTGTTTCTGCTGCCTGAATCACCAAAATTCTTGATCACTACGGGTCGCCATGAAGACGCTCTAGAAGTATTTAAAGGAATCTATCTCATGAACACGGGCCGCAGTAAAGAGGAGTACCCCGTTAAGCAGTTATTAGTAGACGTACCTGTACACGCCAAGCCTGAAAAGCAGCTGGAAGAGAAGGAACCAAAGTCAAAGATGCGTAGGATGCTGAGCGACATCGTGGAGCACAGCAAGCAGCTCTTCGTGCCGCCCATACTCAAGTTCACAACGATATCCATCACCATCAACTTTACATTCCATATCGGGTAAGTTTTTGAAGAATTAATAGTTGTAATGTTGTAAAAAATAGTTGGCACATTGGGTAAAAGATTACTATTGGTTCTGACGTGCCAAGTTAAATACTTCAAACTTTTTGGTAGCTTATTAATCCTACTATCTCTCTCAATATCTCAAGGTAACTCTCCTTTTACATTTGACTATATCTCGTTCACAGTTACTACGGTCTGATGATGTGGTTCCCTGAAATGTTTAACCGTTTCGACGAGTGGTCGCGCGCCAACGACAACGCGCCGGCGGACATCTGTCAGGCGACGGCGTACGTGGTGCAGCGCGGCACGCACTCCGCGGAAGCGCTCTGTGACCCGCACATACACTCCGACGTCTTCATGGAGTCACTCATCACAGTCGCCGCAGCTATACCTTCCAATATCTTCGCCGTGCTCGGAATGGATCGACTCGGAAGGAAGTTCTTCTTGGGTATGTTTCCTTTTATTATTTTAAACGACTTCAAAATGGAGGAAGTTCTCAATCTAGTTACTGTTTTTTTATGTCTTACCATAGAATATCGCTCCTGGTTAAGCTTATTTGATATATTGTTATATTTAGGAGACAACGTCATTGTTAGATTTTTGCAAGGAAAAATAAAGTAGGTTTTCATTGCTGTAATGGAACATAAATTTTAAGTAAACCTTTGTACGTAGTATTTTCGACGTTCTCTGCGGGTCTGTGCTCTGCGGCGATGTACTTCGTGTACAACAAGACCAACAACCTGATAGTGAGCGCCATCTTCAGCTCTGTGATATCGTGCGGCAACGCCTCGCTCGACTGCCTCATTACTGAGGTCTTCCCCACCAACTTGCGGTGAGTTACACGCTACACTTATCCCTCAAGATTTTGTATGACAAATATACACTAAAGTACTGCTAATCAGATGTGTGTTTACTAGTGACGGATTAATCGTGGTTTTCTGAGACCAACATCCCCTTTTGAAACATGTTATTATTGCTGTTTTGTCAAAGATATTGATACAGAGATTTTTGTCTTGGAAACCAACTGTAAGGAAACTAAGTTTTAATTTGCATTAATATTTATTTGGAGACAGGGTCTATACGAGATCTATACTGTAATATTGTATGTAAACTTGTTTAAAAAAAAACTTGTGTGAAATTAGTGTTATAATTTTATCATGAATGTTTCAGTGCTACTGGTGTAGCGGTATCAATGGTGGCGGCGCGTCTCGGCGGCATCATCGGCAACGTGGTGATCGCGGCGCTGCTGGACACGTACTGCCCCGCGCCCACATTCATTGTGGCCGTGCTGCTCGCCGGCGGCGGACTCATGTGCCTCTTCCTGCCCAACACCACCCGACAAGCTCTGCAGTAGACGACAAATATCGTGCCGCTATCTTTTTCAACAGATTGTAGAAATATAACCTTTTTACTGACTGCTATATTAACCTAACCTTTCATAAACTATTTATTTTAACGTAACGTTATTTTAACGCTATATTAATGTTATTGTTATTTTTAACAGTTGATACCAATAGCTTAATTCAGCTGTTCTTTTAAATTCAAAATATATATTTTTTAAAGGCACGATATTTCAGTACTGTTGTCGTCTCTGCGGCTTGTCTTGTGATAATCGTTTTAAGCATTTGTCATTGAACCAGTCTTCAGATCATTAGAAAGTAAAAATTACTACTAAGTATGTACTTGTAAATTATCTTTTTTTTAATCGATTCTTTTAATTTATAAACTAATTAAAACAGGCGCTATATATATTAACATAAACCTATTATGTATAACATAAATGTATATTTTCAAACAGGTTGCAAATAAATAATTGTATTTATCAAAAGTATTATGTGTTGTGAAATGCAACTGTTAACGTGTTACGAATTTATATTATAAAATAAAATATTGTTGTTGTAGTTTGTAGTTAAAATAGTGTAGTGCATTTTGAGGAGGTAACGTTACCTACGACATTGTCATAAACGTTATATTTATAACGGTTTTTACCAATACGATTAAATGAAAATAGAAAGTTAAGTTAAATGAAATGTTTTAATTCACCTAGAAATAAGTTACGAAGTGAAATAAAAATATTTTATTGAATAAAATTTCTTTATTAGAGTTTTAACTACACAGAAAGTAAATAGCTAACTGCTCCCTCTGTGTGTGGGGCATTGCATTAGCTCTGTTCACTCAAACTCAAACCTTCATGTGCCTTTGACGTTACTGTAACAACATTGTACTTACAATTAATTCTACGATAATGATATAACGTTACACAATATAGCCTAAATCAGTTAACCGAAGTGACCTAAATTTTGAATAACAAAATTTGCCAAACCGGAACTGAAAGTTCTTACACCTGTGTAATAACCGTACACATTCTTGATTTTCCTTGAGACTAAACGATATAAAAAATATTACAATATACCTAAACTTTTATATATTACACATACGATCCAACAACGGCATTTTAGATTTACAATCATAATTTTCTTACACTATACTTCTGTGCTGAATATAATATATTGACCGCGACCGCGTTTTATATTAAATCTTTCCAGTTGATCGTTCAGTAAAAGACATTACAATATGTACACACGTCCCGCCGCCGGAGCACGTTCACAACGCAACCAGCCCCCCGCCGGCTGACTAACACAACACTGTCGTATGGAACCGGTTATATCCTTCCAAGGAGTAAAATGAACATTAATCCTATTGCACATTTCATATTTTAAAACTTACGAAAAATTAATAAATAACGAATCAAAATCATTTTTTGCAAGCTTTGAGGAAAAGCATATATAAAAACAATACATTGTTATATTTTATTCGCTATGAGATAGATCATTAACGGACAGTTTGATGGGGGGCTGCAGCGGGATCTCCGCGGAGGTCTCGGAGGTGTCGGAGCTGGGCGTGAGCAGCCGCGACCACTGACTCTCCTCCGCTTCCGAGTCGCGCACCTCCGCCGACGAAGGCGAGCCCAGCGCCGACTCCACCGACGACACGCCGCGCTCCGACACCTCGTCCGTCAGAATGGGTAGGGACTTGCCCACGGACACGTCGTCCGTCAGGAGAGGCAGCGTCATAACCCCTGGAGCGTGCACGTCCACCTCCTCGCTGGACGTGACGAGCGCGATCTCGGCGTTGGGCGAGGGCAAGAGGGCGGCGCTGTACGCGCTACCGCTGAGAGGGTCCGAAGTCTTGGGCGCTATCCTGGGGTCTGTGACGGTGATGGGCAGCTCGAGCGAGGTGGGCACCGTGTGCGGCGTGACGCCGATCACGGCCAGCCCGTCGTCCAGGTTGGCGGGCACGGCGGGCACCGCGGGCTCGCTGTCGGCCTTAGTGGGCACCTCGACGGGGGTCATGATCGGCTGGTTGAGTGTGGTGCTCGTCTCGGATACGCGGCAGAGAACCGGTACGTTAGCATTGAGGTCGCGAAAGTCGGGCGGATCGTCACGCGCCGCCTCCGGCTGGAACACGTCGCTGTTGGCGAGCGCCGCTTCCAGGATATCGCGCCGCTCGGGCAGCGGCGCTATGGCGGGCGCGGGCTCCGCCATCGGGACCAGCTCGTTGTTCTCCAGTATCAACGGACGATTGTCTACTATAGTATAATTTCCGTTGTCCTCCATGCAGAGGTAGAAGGTGCCGGCCAATCCCCCGAAATGCTCCCCAGGCACCGCCAGCAGCTGCCCGTCGGAGAGTGCACCCGGCGCCGTAGCTCCGGCCGGCTCAGGTTGCGCCGGAGCGGACTCCGCTTGACGTGCTATAGCCGTCGATGGCAAAATTTCCTCAATGTTGTCCAAGTCGGGATACGTCGATGCTGACGCTGTCGCCGGACTCGAGGCGTGAACGGTTTGTATATTTGTCGCTACGGGATTAGATGACAAGGATGGAGCTGCAGTGAGCTGTGACACTGGCGCGAGGGCGGACACAAGAGCAGGGACGGGTGGCGGCGCTGGGGCTATCGCTATCTCCTGCTTTGCCTTCTTCTGCGGCGTCTGAGGGTCGATCGTGCTCTTTCTCCCTCTTTGCTTGGAAGTAGTTATAACGACGGGTTCCTTCGGAGACTTCGCGCTGGGTTTCTGAATGATCACTTTACTCTCTTGGGCTATTGGTGATTTCGATATAAGCTGCCCCGTCCGTTGCAGGTGTTCAAACTGTGCGGCGGTGAGTTGCATGTAGGTGCCAGGTTTTCTTTGATAAAACAACATCGGCTCCGACGAGTCCTTCTGGACGTGTGTCGTGTGCACGATCTTCTTGGTCTCGGCGGGCACTATTCGCTTCAGCGCAGGCCTGATTTCTGGCATCGGAGCTATGTTGGTGGTGCCGGAGGGCACGAGTCCGCCGACGATTAGCTGACCTTTAGATGTAATAATTGCACTTTTGTGCCTGGGCACAATCCTCGCCTGGCCTTTAGAGGCGGTGGACGTGGACACAGTCGTTTTATGTACTATAGTTGAATTTGTTGTAATACGTTGTGTGACTGTTTTCAGTTGCGATACATTCGCTTTATGAGGGAACAATATCTTTTCGTGCTCCGGCGTCAATACGATCTTGGACTGAGCTCCTTGTGAATTCGTTATAATCATGACGGTATTGCCGGGCGCGGTGTTCTCTGAGGACTGTTGTATCAGTTTGGCGGAGACTGCTTTGTTATCGGTGACTGCCAAAGCGTCGTTTCCCTTAGCGAGGAACATGTGAGCTTTCCCTGTTTGTGGGTCAATGACTATTTTCTGAGTGCGCGTGGCGCGGGGGGCGCTGGTCGTGGGCAGGATAATGTACTTTTCAGTTTTCCCCCCGCTCTGAGAGACTGATGGCACTAGAGTGGGGACGTGAGATTGTTTCGCTTCTTTCACCGCCGTCTCGGGCTGAGGCAGGATGATTTTCTTTTTGCCTGTGGCCTTCTCTATAACTAACATAGGTTTAGCACCGCGTAACTTTGCTGACTTAGAGAGAATGTTGGGGGTTGTTACTTTGGCGGCATCACTCGATGGACTCATAACCATCGTTTTGATTTCCGCTTTGCTCGGTATAGGACTTAGACTTTTAGTAGTAACTGGACTCAAAGCTAATTTTTCACTTTCGACTTTAGTCTTAGTTTTAATTTTTGTGGTATTTGTAGAATTCGTTATAATATTTGCATCTGACATAACAATTGGCATTTTCTCGATACTTTCAGGCGTGAGTATATCATCAGACAATACTATGGGCATTGAATTTATATCGAATATGGGTTCATCATTTCCACTTTCTTTAATAGACTTTTTTTCTTTAATATGTGCTACGAATGATGTTTGCGTTTGTGGTTTTATTTTCTGTATTTTTGTTAGTGTTTTACCAATTTTTCTATTTTTTGGTTGTATAAGTATAGTATTCGGATCGGAGGAATGTTCGACGGGCGTTTGTATAGTATATGTTTGTACTGAAGATGAGTCTTGAACAGGCTTATTGCTGCGAGAAAGAATAATTTTATTGAGGTTTGATACTTCATTGATATTATTTAATATAGTTTTATTAGGCCCAGATCTCCGGATGACTATATTCTGTTTGATCGCTTGAGGTTTTCCCTTAAAAGATTGTTTGCCAACATCGAAATTTAGTATTTTCTCTTTGCCAGGAATAATGACTCGTTTACTTATAATAGTTTTATTAGGAGCTAGTTTTGGTGTTGTTGGTTTTTCCAATATTTTCAATAGTTTACTAGAAGATTTGTCGTATGAAACGGATTTACCGTTAGATTGTTCTACTGTAGATTTTTTTGGTAATAATGATACTTTAGGTTCTAACACGCTATCTGTGGCCTCTGTCGTTTTCGATTTACTGGTCTTATTTGGGCTAGCCTCTTTTTTATTTTCAGATTCGATTTCAACAAAGTTAATATTATGATCAATACATTCAGACATTTGCACTAAAGATTGTGCAGCATTTAGATTTTCACTTTTCTCTTGTTCTGTTTCATAACGTGAAATATTTTCTTTCTTTTCATTAGAGTAATCTGTTTCAGGTTCTTCAATTACCAAATCTTTAGTAGAGGGACTGTGTGAGACTGTATCAACAAATTCCTTGTTCAACACGTCTTCGCAAGATTCTATCGGCTTGTCTATTTCTAATGTAAGGGGCGGAGTTACAGGTGGTGTTTCACTGAATGTTTTATTTTGTATCGCCGTCGATGGTAAATTAATAAGTGCCTCGGCTATTTGGAGATCAGATTCCGTAGGCACACTATCACCGACTACATCGTCAACAATATCTTCAATTTTATCTTTAACTTCATCATCTTCTGTGATTTTTGTTTCATCTTTAGTTACACTTATTTTATCAGTATCTATATCGGTATCTAAATTATCTGTTATTGGTAATTCATCTAATGAATTTGTTTGTAATTTTGAGCATTCAATGTCATTGTTAATTGCTTGATCCTTTACTTTATCATCAATGATTTCCTTTATTTCATTATATCCATTAACTATGTTAACATTTGTCGTATCTTTTTCATCTTCAAATAAATCTTCTGGTGGATCATCACTAATAACCCTGGTAACGTTATCAGTTTCTCGCGAGACACTGAGCAATGCATCCACCGCAGTCTCAGTCATACGTGTTTCTAAAGAATGTTCATAATCTAATTGTAGATTTAAATGTGTTTTATTCTTTTCATATTCATCATCTTTGCTCTCTTTGTCGATTGCTTTATCAAAATCTGATTCTTCTAAAGAATTTTGACTTATTGTTGGCATAAAGTTATCTTTATCTGTTACATCACTAGTTATCGGCAAAGATTCTGATATTTCTGAAGGTTCTAATTCTTCGTTTAGATTGTTAGTACTTTCTTGTGTAATTTCTGGTGTATTATATATAAGGTCTTGACTAGTCAATGAATCTGTTTCGTCTTTTTCAATATTAAAATCGTTAGTTATATTTATAACATGGTCTGGTACTTTCAATGAATTACTTGATACATCCTCCTCTTGTTTAGTATCCAATATATTTTTCTCTTTTTCTTGTTGCTGTGCTGCTTCAGCCTTCATTTTTTTTAATTGTATTTTAGGAGCCAGTCTCGCCACTTTCACATGTTCTACAGGAGATTCCCGGGATTCAGGTGAAGATGAAGATTCTATACCGTTCGTTTCATTCTCCGATAAATCCATTCTCTCTGCGGCATTCAACTGTTCCGCTACATATTTTCCTATTGCATCCTGACTTCTAGAGTGGCGACTTCGAAAAAATGTTTTAGTTTTAAAAATTGTTTTAGGAGCTTGATCAGTATTATTTTTCTCACTAGCTTGACTCGATTCTGGTGATGGTTCTGTGGTGTTAGAATCATTCTTTTTGTCCGGTGATTTCGCAACCGGTCGCTCTGGAAAATTTTCTTCCACTGGCAGTGTTGCCGGAACCGACGGCAATTCCGGTACAGTCGTCTTGTTAAGTAATTCGGCTACTTCTCTGCGAACATCATCATCTTCAGTACTTAGACTTTTGACGCTTTCTTTTCGTTTAGATGGATTTTTTACCCGAGGAATTTTCCTGCCCGCATCTGCCTCCATTGACCAATCTTCGTCTTCACAAAACTCATATTTGGAATCACTTGACGATTCCGGTTTTTCTGATGATTGTAAATCTTCCGAATTCTTTTGTGTATTCGGTGAAATTTCAGCAGGAATCTGTGCGGAAGGTAGTTCAGCCGGAGTGGGTACGTCGGGAGATTCAGCCCCTACTGGGACTTCTGGAGACGTAGTCATAGCTATCGTAGATTCATCATTTGAATCTTCACCCACATCATCCCAATCTGCCAATAGGCTACTTTTAATTTCTTCATCAGTCTTCACTTTCTTTACTTCAACTTCGACTGCTTTTTCTTGTGATAATCGTTTTTGAGCTTGATTAATCTTATCCGCTTTATCACTTTTGATGACTTTATCATTCTTTTCTTTCGGTTTACGAGATTTGGGAGTTTTTGTTTTTGTTTTAGAGACTGGTTTTCTGACAGGCGATGGTGTGTACGGTGTAAATGTTACACTGTGAGTTTTGTTGTGCATGATCAGGACATTTAGTCTTGTCGTAGTGAATGGACAGGCGTGACAAGAGTATATACCGCTACTGGACATAGTTGGTGTGCTGTAACTGGAGACAGGTTGTTCTGTAACATTTTCAACTTTTTCCTCTGTGGGCTCGGAGCCGGCTCGGCTTGTGGAAGGTGAAGCGAGGTCTGTTGCTGGGGTTGCGGGAGTTTTAGATCCTTGTAGTAATATATGTACTTTGTAATTAGTCTTATCCTTTATCTGAAACAATTAAATATACTGTAAATCAAAATACATTGTAAAATTATTGAAATGCACTCAAGTTCCATGAAACTACAATGTTAAGTTTAAAGTAACACAATTAAAACTACCTTTCTTATTGGAGTTCTTAATGCTGGTGATTGGGGATATCTTCCTTTAGCTGAAATGAATAAGAAAAACTTTAAGTACTATATTGTGGGAGTCACATAATAATATCTATATATCTAGTTTGAATAAAACAAAAAAACTAGGATTTATCAATACAAATCAAGTACAATCTGGAGATAACTACAATTAAAAAAAACCGTTTTCTATTTCTCCAACATGATACTGTACCTCGTTTAGCAGATTGTGGTGTCCGTTTAGCTGGATCACCAAACAATCCAGCATAGCTCTCTTTCTTCTCTTCTTGAAATTCATCTCTAGTCAATATTTTTATATCACCTCCTACTGCTGTTTCAGCTCTAATCACATCTTCAGGAAATTTCTCCATAAGTCCATGTTTTGTTCTGTACATATCTGAAAAAAGAAATAAATAAACTTACAATAAATTAATCTATTAAAGAATTTTACATGTAAGTATTGCAAAAACATATGTTAATGTTAAAGTTCATTCAGAACAAATATTTAATAATACTTAATAAATTCTTAAATATTTAAATTTAAATCTTAAGCTAAATATCAATATATTTGAACAGATAAAAATGATAAAATATCAATTTGAAGTAATCGTAATAACCTGTGACGGAAAAAATATTGATGTTCCCCCGAGCATTCGAATAAAGAACTTCTTTTTTACTCCAAATTATTATTAAATTTTATTATTAGATTTGACCTAAATAAACAAAGCAAGTTATTTAACACAAACAGACCAAGTCCCTAGGGAACATTGTTGAAATACTGTATTGATTACATCAACCAAAAACAGACATCGGCAAAATGTGGTAAGTCTTATCAGAAAATTCTTTCCATAGAAAGAATGTGTTAGTGACATATTGAACAAAAACACATGATTTTTTTGCAGTATAACATAGCAAACAAGGAAGCGGCCACCTGAGTTTGAAAAAGACAAGATACCACTATGCATACAGATTCCTATTTGAAAATATGTGGTCTATCTTTAATCAATCAACAAAAAAGGAATGCACAGAAAGAGGAAATTTTGTCTTTCTAAAGAGAGAATTAGAGAATCCCTGAGACTCCCACCAAATATGCTTCCCCCTCTCATCCTTTCCTCTAAAGAAAAGGGGAGGAGTAAATGTTGTAGTATTGTTATTTAGTAATGAACATACAGTAAAACTAAGCTTTGCAATAAAATAATTATTATTATCTTAAAAATATATTTATCTTAAGATGTTCGCCGTAATTTATAATGCATAATTATTTATATGCGAAATGTACTTACAAAGTCCTTTGTTGATAAATTCATTTTTGCGGCTGCAGTTGTATTTGTAAATAGAGTTTGTATTTTTCACATATTCACTGAAAATCACAAAAATTATTGATTATAAAGTTGTATCATCTTATATAATAAAGTCTTGAGATCATGCATCGGAGGAAGTGATATATGGAAAATAGATATTGCACTATATATAAATTAAGGTTATAAGATTTGTGAAAAATTTTAGGTATACTAATAGGTACAATATTATTTTTACAAAATAGATTCTTTGTAAATATAACATACATTAATGACAATAACATGCATGTATTGTGTGGAATAAAATTACAAATCTTTAGTATACTTACAAAGTCTCTTCTTGAAAAAATTTGACAACTGCAATAGGGGGTTTCTTGAATGATGGCAGGAGATCTGGTGGAAGCTTATCGGGACCAACCACCTCGCCGGGCCAAAAGCACGAGCCCAGCTTTACCCACACCACTTCCCCATCCAAATACTCAGTTTCTGACTGTTCACACATCACCACTAATCTGTTCAGGCGAATCGCACAACCATATTTTATTCTATAGCAAGTATAGGTTGAGCATAGCAGTTATCATAACATCATTAAAATCGACGATACCAATTCATACATGTAACATTAGATGTTTAATTGATAATATCAAATCACAAATATACTAATATGCTTCCTTATTTGTCAATAAACTGGCAAAATACTAATTGTAAATAATAAATAAATTCACCGACTGCGTACGATATTACTTTGGTAGTTTCTTTAGTTGGCAGCACTGATTTCGACGAAAAAATTGTCAAATAGGAAATAATTTGACTTTCTAGCTTTATCATCGTTTTTTTAAATTTACGTAACTTATAATTTAATATAGTAGTTTAATTCAACTAAAATATATTGATATATAATTTAAAAAGATAGCATTCTACTTCACCGGAAACAAAGATAATGGCAGCGTCAGCACATACCAACAAAACGGCAAAAGGTCATAGAGTGCATTCTTAGTGTTACTAGTATTAAAAATCATAAAATCAGAGTATAAAATGAAATAAGGATTGCATTACCGGTTTTTATACGCGTAGAAAAAATAATATTAGCGTGAAAACAGAAATGTTGTTCATAATAATTGAGATTAAATAACAAATTCTCGTTGACGTAAAAATCCTTTCTTTGCAAAACCAGTTCTGTCCAAAAATTAATACTGAAGAAACAGAAGATGCTTTAAAAAGTAGTAGAGTAATTTATTTAGTAGTTTACATGAACCTTATAACGCCATAAGGAAGAACTTCAAATTAAAGGCCAGACTGTTGAGCATGCACAGAATTTAAAACAAAAAGTTAGTTACTTAGTTGCTTTTAATTAATGTTATTTATATACATTTGCCAGTACTTTTAATTTAAAGCACAATTGTTCCGATTAATCATTTTAATTAACTCTCTACTTAAAGATACTCTTCAGGATTCGGAAATAAGTACTGCCACAGACGAATTTCGCAACGCATTCGAAGTAGGAAGCAACCACAAAAACAGCAAGATGATGTAATTGGCATTCGGGACTTGGATAAAAGTTCAAGTGTTAAAGAAGAATATTTATAAAAAAAATAATCTTTGAGATTTATTGTTAAAAAAGAGTATATTACACTTATTAAAATTAGATTACAATACTTGAGAACTATACGCCTATTTTATAAGACTTGTAGTCTTACTTATTAAAAAGTCTTAAGTAATTAAAATACGCAAAAATATTTTAAATGTTGTATTCTCTCTAAAGCCATCACTGGCGATAATGACGATGATGATGTTTCTTCCTAATAAGTACAGTTTTCACAATAAATACACATTATTAGTAGTCTTTTTTTTAATTTGAACACTATTTCATTTAAGCGAGGGATTGACTTAGACCCATTAGGAAATAAATTGAGTTTTTTATAAAACTTTTGCCTGTATTATCTTCCTCTCGTAGGAAGATTTTTACTTTTAGGAGTCGTTACAAACACACAGAAGTTCTATTAAATTTGTGGTCAAGAGTTTGTTGTTTTTGAGCAACATATTACTGGTTCAAAAACTTTTCTTTGCATTTGTGGTCCATCATAATATTTTAGTTATAAATATACAAAGTAGGTATGTCCTTAATACCACAAAATAGTTACTAAAACAATATTTTTTAGCTTAAGTATGGTACAGACAAATTTTAACAATTTTATTTGAAAACAGTTTTGTCAATTTAAAATTGAAGTTGACACTGGACAAAGAATATAATAGTACAATTCAGCCTTGATAACGAGTTTCTCTTTACAATTTAATAATAATGTTCAGCCGGAGTATTGGCGCACGATCTTGGCCCACTGCTGCGGAAAGTTTCTTTGTACGTAAGATAACGTGCGTTGAATTTGTTTCGTTTCTTGTGGCGTGCATTGCGGGCACGCGCCGCGAAGGACCAATGGCGCTAGTGCTGCAAATATAATAAGAGACCATTAATTTCATATTACGAGATTATTGCACTGAGCTAAATCTAGCTTAGCTCTAATAAGCTTTAACAGTAATAAAACAGTAGCTCTACATATCGCTCCTCAAACACAATATGTACAAAATTATCATGAAAAAAAATCTCTATAACGAGACCATTATTTGTTTAGACTGATTTATGCGTTCACTTAGAATATAATTTAAAAAACATACAGACATATTGAGAACCTCCTTCTTTTTAAAGTCGGTTAAAATAAGAATTATCAAAATCGGACAACTAGGGGCGGAGTTATCGACGAAGAAAAAAAACCGTTTCTTAACACAACTTACTTTTGAGACGTTTGCCGATGGGATCGCAAGGCGCTTCACCGAGAGCGCACTTCAGCTGTCGTTGTATGAAACGTTTATCGTTGAGGGCCTCCTCGAGTGCTGTGTCAGAGACTGGAGGCCTGTCTGTCTGGGCCTGCGCGAGGCAAGTTGCCGCCAACGCACAAAGAGCGATAATAATGTGATTGATCTGAAACATATGATATTCGTATTAACATAATTTAATAGATAAAGGTTAAGTAACTCTAAGGCTCCTTTACACTAATTCATGGAGTCATGGGCGTCGCCAAAGGGAGCAGGTGGGTAGCAGAGCCATAAAAAAGCAAAATTATGAAATAGGTATAAAAACTATTTTAAATATTAAGGTGCCTTTGATTATCGGCTGCCGAAGCTCTTGAATGTAGTCCTCAATTAAAGTGAACTGTCTGAATGCCTCTTCCTCGGAATTATAAGTCTCAAAAAACAAATAATTTCAATTTTGGTTTTAGTACTTTTCACTTTTTCCGTTGGTATTTATGACCTTATCAATTATTATCTTCCAAATAATTAACGTAGTATATTTAAAAATGATACCAGTCAAAATATTTATTCAAGGTTTAAATTATCTTCGAGGATATCATCAAAGTCAAGGTGAACAATATGGAATGAGTAATGTCTATTGCTATTTAAATTTTATGACATTAACAATAGGCGATTAATTCGCATGCGGTGGATGCGTTGACCACAAAACGGGTTTAGCTCGCACGGTACACAATATCGTGGCTGACCTTGTCGTCAACTTATTTGTTTTTTCATATACAAATTTAAAAGATTACCTTTTATATTACAAATAAGTGAAACAAGTTATATGAAATAAATAAAAAAATATTACAATCCATCCTTCCTAAGCCGTCTTCCCTTCATCTTACTTAATATTATAAATGCGAAAGTTATTTGGATGGATAGATGGATTTCAATGGCTCTCGATGAAATTTTGCCGCAATCACGGACTTGTGAGTTGACTTCTTACATGTCTGACTTTGTGTTTATGAGTACGTATTAAGTCTCCAGATATAACTTGAGGTGTTGAATATCAGCCATTATCTCATGTACTAAAATCTCTGTTCCATACAATTTTATCCAGTCTTTTGCCACCGCAAGGTTATAAAACCGTGACAAAATGCTATCAATGCCGCCCATTAAATGGACTTTCAATAAAAAAGCTAGACAGTAAGAAATTTCTCAGAAAATTTAAACGCCAATACATTGTATGCATTATTATTACGTCAAGGTTAGGTTATAACGAGAAAGCTCTCAGGACAGATTATAGATAATATAAAAAAATCGTATAACAATTTACAAGTCAACAAAATGCCGTTCGTCTCTGTCGTATTTTTAGAGTTTAGACATCACACAGAGATTTTTATAATCTTACTAATATTGTAAATACGAATGTTTAGATGGATTGATGTTTGTTTGAAGTTATCTCCGGAACAGCCGAACGGATCTCGCTGAAATTTAACACAGATGTAGAACATAGTCTGGAAGAACACATATGCTACTTATTAAGTTTTTTTTTAATTACGCGCGGACGTAGTTAGTATAGTGAAAGCCGTTTAAGACATATTATGTAGATATATAACATAACAAATTGTGATGTTTTATACACTCTTGTGATGTTTGTATATACAAAAATCACAAGAGTGTATGTTTTGAAATCTCACATAAGTAAGTATGTAACAGTTGATGCAATGTGAAAAATACATTTATGTTTTCACACACCACAATGATGAATGGCGTATGGCTTTTGTTGTATTAAAAACGCATACGTTTTCTATACGAGCGTGAGAGAAAATTGGAACAAAGTTAAAACAATAATCCGTTCTGCAAAATTGGTTTCTTTCTACTTTGATTCATTACGTGATGTTATAATTTGTACAGATCGTTCACAACATCGAAGGGAACGGCAATATTCATAGTATCCGATAGTTTTAATAATTGATATGTGTTTGGAGTTCACCCGAAACCTATTTGGTTATTAATTTGTCTTTTAAACCGAGGTAATATTAAGCGGTTTCTATTGTAGGTTACACTAGTTGTCGCCCTAGGCTGCGTCCTCGCACACTTAAAAAATAAAAAGTAATCTGTGTTCTTCCAGACTGTCTTCTATATGTATCCGTTCAGTCGTTCTGGAGCTACCTGCAAAAAACATCCATCTATCCATCTAAACATTCGCATTTATAATATTAGTAAGATTAGTAAATAATACATGATTAAAACCAGTCCTTGCCTTTGAATTTTTTGAGTGAATCCACATTTATTTAAGCGAGTAAACAAAAGAATAATAAACGAATTCAGATACATTTGAGGTCAGTGACCTTCAAATTATAAATCAGTGTTACTTTGCATAATGATTTAATAGCGCACACATAAATCAAATACAAATGTTATAATTACCAAAGGAAAAAATTATATATTCCACGTACACTTAAATGAGTAGGTACAAAGACATTTCCTTGACTCATGTTTCGGTCTGACCTTTACAAATTATTTAAAGTACAATCATAAAAGGCATAAACATATTTAACAAAAATAATATCAAAACAAATTTAACTCGACTCGTTTATTTACCAACGATAAATGTTGTTTGTCTTTAAAGACTTTTATATAATAAACGTGTCTACAGCATACTTGTTTGTTTTATTTTTGGTGTATTTGATTGATGCTTGGGGTGTTTTGGCAGCCGAAATTCAAGGTCAAATATGTCAAAAATTATGATTACAGTTTTAGGAAATTCGTGCATATGTAATTTATATTCATAGACACAATTAATTGGAATCGATGTCAGACATTCTCATACTGATCAGAGTTAAAGCATACATAAATATTTTTTTATTTTCTTTTAATAAAAATTACTAATATCACAAAAAATTATATTTCGGTTAACTCTAGTTGTTGCTACAACTTCGAACGCGCGCTATTCGCGGAATATTTTTTTTTTTAATTTTTAAGCTATGACCTATTTCAGAGAGTATTTTATCTCTATGCTAAATTTCAAACAGATCCGTTTAGTCGTTTTGAAGTTAGCTATCCCACATCCATCCATCTAAATATTCGCAGTTGTAATATTAGTAACATTTTTATAATTGTGCAGCATCAATTCTTTTAATTGGGTTGATTATTTTGTAGTCTCGGATGTTATAAAAAATTACATAAGTTAATAAAATTCGACCAACGGTTCAAGCTTATATTTAAAATATAAAATTACTCAGATGTCCCACTTTGTAAAGCTAAATGTCGTAACATCCTTTGCCAATTCTACAAATTGCAATAAGGAAAATTATAATAAAATTACTAAAAAAAAGTAAAATAGTATAACTTACCTGCATTTTATTTGTGTTTAAAATTAACACTAATTTTAACAGAGATGAAACTTGTATTTTTGTAACACTATAACGCGGTCGGTCAGTTGAACTTGTTGAACGGTGAATGCTTGCAACTTAGCTTGTGCGGTAACCTCTTACTTAACCCCCCCTCTATCCAACTTGCATGTTACTTATACGTCATTGAAGTTGCGTCAAAATTTATTCGCTAGCATTGCTAATTTATTTTATTTTTATTTAATACTACCAGAACCCAACGTGGAATGAATTGCTACGTAAAAACTGTTAAAGTAATGCCACGGTAAAATTAAGTCTAAAAGCTATATTAAAAAATTAAATTCAAACTTTTCATTTTATTGGACATATAAAACCTACTTTGTCCTCACAACATCCTAGTTTTTTAATCTGTCTAATGGTTTACAATTTTTTAAACATCGCAGTACGTAATTTGAATTTCGATAAAAAATATAAAGATTTTGTTTAATAAATTGGATGAATCAATTGATATGTTATTGGTTATTATATGTACATATGATATAACAGGTCATTGGTTCGAATCACAGCCGGTTTGTATAAATTACATCTCGTTGATACACTTGCGTACAAAGTGCACTGTAAAATCCTGTCTTAAGACAGGCTTCATTTACAGATAAAAAATAGTTAAATATCTTTTTTATTTGTTTATCAAAAGCCATGTATTTTGTGTTGTTATTGAAACACACTTTTATTCTTTTTTTAAATGTCACATTTAAAAAATCTTTATATTTTTTTTAATTTAACATAGTTTTAATCTCTCCAAATTGTTTAATGTTAATTGCTTATTTAATATGATAATTTAGTAAAAAGGAATGGGTTTACCCAGAGATATTAAAGTAAGAGGAAAAGGTTGTTTTTTTAATGACAGCAATTTATGAAGAGTCAGACGCTTTCCGTGTGTGTCGTAAGCGCCATTGCATAAGTTTTGACCTAATGACAATAATCTTTGTCTCATTTTAAAAAACCTATTTATAAAAAAGATATGTCTGTGTATGCTCGTAGGTTGGTTTTTATTTTACTTTCAATCCTTTTGTCCCCATTCATTTATTGAATTTATTTAACTCGTTTAAAAAAAAAACCATCATCCCTCTTATTCTGTTTAAAAAAAATGTTATAAAAAATATTTTTTCGTCAAATACAAAAATTGTTTTTATTTTCATATTGTACTTACTGTCAATTCGTATACAATTTTATGAACAAATCTTACGATCATTATTTGAATAAACTTAGCTAGATATATATTAGAAGTAAATCATCCGTGTTGACGGACGATTCTCGCCCATTCCCAGGGGTAGTTCCTCTGCACGAATGCCAGGGTGCGTCGAATCTGTCTGGTCTCCTGCGCGGAGCACTGCGGGCAAGCGCCTCGAAGGACCAATGGCGCTAATGCTGGAAAAATGAGAACGTTTTTTAAATTTAAAACGCCAATAGTGTAATGAAGAAATTCCAAAACGTGTGTGAATTCAGTTAACGCCCACTGGGCCTGGGTAGTTGATTTAGGCCTTATCATATTTGAGCTGATGATGAATAGCGAAATGATGAAGGGTACAAATGTCGTACTTGTTTGACTCGACTATTGTTCTGAGCGAGTGGTTCATTACAAGCATAATACATGGTTGGAATAGTTAAAAGAAATATGATTTAATTAATGAGAAAACAAATTTGTCAATTTTAACAATGAATCGTTTTTTAATTACAAAAGTAAAATTAAATTAAATTAGTATCCATTGTTCATCTCTAATTTAAAAATCAAACCAAATAGCATATTGTATAGCAACACGCGTAAACAAGCAACGTTTTATTTTAAAATAAATTAAAAAAAACACAAAAACGCAAGACTTATCGTATGTTGTTTCATGGTATATTTCTGTTTTAGTAATTTTACTACGCTATTTTTATTGACATACTAAAATATGTCCGCTATAGTGTGACAAAAATAGAAACCGTGTTTGTAGTCAATATCAATAAAAAAATCCTTTTTAATTATAATAATTAGCTACTAAAATTAATTTAATTAATTCCTATATAACAAATAGTAAATACTTTGTGAATTCTTAATGTTCGCATTAATTAAAGAAATTGACATTTAAAACCCAAGGTCGTTCAAGAGCAATTCATCGTGTTCGCAGTTACCATATTTTTAAACGCACTATTAGTTTCTTATAAAACACGGCCAGTTATCCTTGAAGCCAAAAACAAAAAAAAATCTTGTAGCAATTAACGGCAATGACAAAATCAAGCAATTTTATATAACTTTTTTTTATGATTTCTAAAAGTAATCTTTAAATTTTATGTTTACAATGTAATTAATTACTAATAAGAACTACAATAAATATTTTAATGTAGGTATAGTGACATTCAAACTTTATGTCGGCTCAACATTTCCTACAAGACGTTACGTTTAAACTTTTTTATATAATATATTAGTGTGTGGCAGCAGGGTAACGCCGTTCGGCACGCTTTTCTGTACTCTCAGTGAGCGCGCCAGACACCTACATACGCAGGCATAAGCTCGCAGCTACCACGAGCCGTTATAAAGTTGGAATCTTGTATTACAACTGAGAATCAAACACCGACCGAGTTTGTCGTAATGCTGTTTACGGAGGCAAAGGCGCTTTCTAATTCTAACGCAAGCGGAGCTAATGCGACGTTGAATAACTATCGGATTACTGTGAACCGAAACGGAAAAGTTTAAATAATTCGACATAGGAGGAAAATAGATTTTCTTATTGATAACAATTCTATTGATTTGATTTGATTCGACAACACTGATTTCGACAAGAAGTTTGATGTTAACTTGTTTGCGTTGGCAAGAAATAAAAATTATAACCTCTGAAAGTACACAATATAAACCTCTTTAAATTCAAAATTAAGCAAAAAATTACTAATATTTATGCTTTAGATTTACTATCCTTATGTCATTTTTATTCGTATGATACTCTATGCATCTAGACAAGAAAATGATTGACAACTCACTCTTAAGGTCATTTAGGTTACTGGGATGAATTTACCTAGAAAATAATCTAAACCTTACTATCGGTAATGGTGGTGTATAGATGCTAAAAATTACTTACTTCTGAGTCGTACTCCAACTGGATCGCAAGGCCCTTCCCCTAACGCGCATTTCAAATGTCTCTGCATGGTGCTCCTGTCAGTTAAAGTCTGTTCTAATTGAGCATCTGTCATTGATGGAGCTCCATCCACAAGAGCAAGGCATAGCATTAACAGACAAAATCGCACGAAAAGCTGGAATAAAAAGGATATTATATTATGATTAAAATAAACGTACAGGTTCATATTTACTATGGTAGGACTCCAACAAAATCCTCGTTTAATGTATATATTGTCATCTCTGTTTTATTCAAAGATAATGACAGGGATGACGATATACAGAGGTTTTGGTCTTTGAAACCAACGGTCAATCGTGTTTCGTGTCTACATTTACTATTCTTACCCACGACATAAAATACACAAGAATATTCCAAGAAACTGCTTATCTCTTACCAGGAAGATTCGTTTACTACGTTCCTTTGCCTTTATTTTTCATCCATTTACTTCAACATTTTTAATTTTTTACTTAAATTTTTCTATAAATTATGGTTACTAGTTACTTTTACGTTCAAAATAGATGTCATCACGGATAACGGTATTTTTACATTGCGGAACTTCGCGTAAATAAAAGTTGGGTAGTTGTTAAATAAATATAAAATTAACAAATATTTGTTAAACTGTAAAGACGGTAGATTAAAAATTGATGAATTACGAGTACTTATAGTTTCTAAATAAAATATGTTACTATAGAAATGTAAAAATTTACATTTGAAATAATGAATCCCAATCACAAAATTCATTTTCAATGATTTGAATAAAAATTGGATCCTAAATAAGTGACGTCATAATTCTTAATGCATACATAGTAACCACATTGATATGAATAATTAGATTCATTTTTATCGTTTTGTTTAACTCAAAACTAAAAAATATAGAAATATTTAATAGATTTACCTGCATTTCGATTATATAGGGCAGACTGTAGCGTAATTTTAATACAATAATCACTACTTTTGTGACACTAAAGTGTAACAATTCGGCAACGAGACTGGACGAGTAGGGAGCGACTGGCTGTGGCCCAATCATCGCATTAACAACACCGGGAACAATCAACACTCCCTCTCTGAGATCATTAAGCCTTAAATAGTCCTAACCTCTAACGACATGGTATAATGACCAATTTCGAATGTCTTTCTTTTAAATACAATAACGAGGTTACGCATTCTTACATTAATATTTTTCTTAGAATTCCTTGGCATTTAATCAAGTTAATTAACTATGCTGTTAAGTGATAATATTTGTTCATTATTATTCACAGGAAATCTTAATTTTTTGACTTTAGTGTCAGTGACCTTGACCTGACTCAATTAATTGACCTAATTAATTCTGACCCTTGCATTGCTCATGTAATTTAGTAAAAAGGGCAACGTAGTCAAAGGAAGCCATTGCATTGTTAGTGCTGCGAAGTATTGTTAATTTTAAATCCTGTTCCGTACTTATTCATTCCAAAAAAATTAATTTGTACTTCAATCGAAACCAAATAATACAAGTAGAGAACTACAAATGAATATGAGTCAAAGTTATTATCGATATAAATAAAAAAATCTCATAACATTATTTTTTGTCCTCTAACGTTCTAATAACAGCTTAAGATTTTTCGAATATAACAATTTTTTATCTGTTGATTTAGATTTGGATAATAAAGATAGAACAGATCAGAGATAAATAACAATCCAGATTGTTGTTTGCCGTCTTCGCTTAGATTATGAGTTACAGCAATTTAAATTTAATTTTACTAATTATTTCAAGATTAAAGAGAGGGGAATAAAACATCGCCACGCATAGACAATGTAACTTAAGAATAATTGACAATCTCCACAGACTAAAAAATATTACACTGAATAAAATTAAGTTACACCACTACAAAGTTATAGTTAAGTAACACAAAGAAATAATTCGTGGGTTCTAGTGCATTATATTTATTAAATACTTAACTAAAATAATGTTATAACAACCAAAATACATAGAATAACTAGATATTCTTTAATAATACACCATCGTTCAGCAGTGTATAGTGCTTGTTTTTAATTAAGCACTTGTCAAATGAATCATATGTTTGGAGTAATTAACTGTGTCAATGTTTGTATACTAATGACAGTTTCAAAAAGTGAACTTTAGTTTTTTAAATATGAATATTCCAACAAGTGCTGGAAAGTCTCCGTGTAAGCGACAGGAAAATGGCGACCAAACAATGGAATCTGAACGCCCACTTAAAAAGGCTCGTTTTGCGTGGCAAGTTAAAGGAAAATATCATTTGAGAAATGAAACTTCAGAGAATATTACCTCAAAATCTGATGATTTGGTTCAAGCCGGTTCATCGTCAGGAAATGTTTCAGCAGATCTTGTTGGAAATACCGAACAGAATTTAGAAATCCTCGGGGATTATTTGTTGAAGCAGGACTTTAACACATTAGATTCTGTTATAACAGACAACGATAAAACTTTACCGAACACGAACACGTCCAATGAAAAACTCGAATATCCTATATACGTTAGCTCTTACAGTCGAGGGTCCAGCAGTAGTTCTAGGCAATCAAGTGATACATCATATTCAGCATTACCCATGTCAATGGTTCTGTCACAAAGCTACACAGAAGATCAGTGCATAGCAAGATGGCAAGCAAGACAGGTATAGCAAGTTTTTTTTTTATATTAAGAACATCAAATATATTTTTTATTGAAAGAAACCACGGCTGTAGCCTTGAAATTGCTGTAGTAATATTATTTTTCAATTAAAACTTGCCTCATTAGTGTAAAATCAAGACACATATTGTAATGTTGACTGAGAAAGGTGCCTAATTTAATTTTAACTCATACATGAGTGTAGATTATGAGAATTCATTTGTTATTTATCAATTTTCAGATGGCCAAAGGCTTTGTTGACAACACAATCAACCGAGTTTTAGACTCCTGGCTAGTGGCACCATTACCAGCTGAGATGGACAACAATAGATTCCTAGCCTTAGATGTTGCTGAATTTATAAATAATTTACCAGGTGATAATACAGTTGAAAACGAGGGTATTTTGATGGCAATATCAGCTCATGGACTACAGAACACTTCAACATCCAGTGGTTCTAAAAAAAGTGAGTCAGATCAAAGTGAAATGTTGAACCAGAAAAGTGAATGTATGAGCCCGCCAAGTAGTCCAATACCATCAGACGATGAACCCTTCACTACAGATGACCATATAGATAGTAACTCAAGTAATTTAGACATGGCATGGTCATACTCCGATGAAACAATGAGAAAAAATGTGAATAACTTAACTCAATTAGCATTACTACCAGATACAAATCCACAATACCAGTATTTTAACGAGACTGAAAATCTCCAAGCTGCCAACATAGATTATGATAATATTAGATCAAATGACAGTGATTTTGACAATCAATTAGACTTTCTAGACGCTGCTGTATCATTTGCGATACAAAATAAAGGTTTGACATCAGATGGTACTGATTATGGTTAAACTATTGTATTTTACATTCCTTATTATAGTGAATACTAGCACAAAATAGCAAATAGGCAAAGGTAGAGAACTTAGACTAGATGTACGGGACTGACTCAAACTGGAAGAACAGCAAATATTTGGATAGAAATAGATTTGAGGTTACAGAAAAGTTAAGTCTGTGATTACTAAATTATTTTTAAATGCTTAATACATAAATTTTTATAGCTTATGAAACAAAATAATGTATTGTATAATTGTATACCTAATTTGTATTTACTGAAAGAATGACTAGCGCATTAGGTAATAGATATTTGGGCATAGATATATAACATATAGGAGTGTTTCATTCAAGTTTGTCTAATCAAGTGTTGAATTACAACACTGAGGGAATTTACCCAAACAAAAGAGGGCTCTGGTACATATCTATAGATTATATATCTATGTATTTAGGTTTAGAAGTGGAATATAGAAAATTACCATAGAGTTATATTGTTAGAAGGCTAGGCACTGTACTTTAAAACTGTAACTTCTAAAATTATAGCCCATACGAATTAATTTGGGACTGCTAGAATGCAACCACCTTAAGACTTCACTCTGGTTTTGCGTCCAGTAGATATATTTATCTGGACAACAGTATATTACTAAGTATCATCATCGGCTCACTATACATCCTCACCGAGGGGTTTGGAGTTAATCCTAAGTTAGGGTTGACTATACCCATTCCAAAATAATTTTATTTTGCATCAATATGCAGTTAGCCGATGCCCAAATTTAATTCGTATGGCATATAAAATATGTTACTATTTCCTAACATTTATGCTTATTTGCCTTTCTCAACAAAATAGTACGCTAAAAGAATAATTTAATACTTTTATATTTCTCTATTTAAACATATGTTACCGATGACTGCAACATGCAACAGTATTTTATATTTTGGGTTTTATTAGTTTCATGTACAGTACATATTATAACTTTTTTTTACTTTTGTAAACTGTAAAATGTTTTAAGATTTTAACAAATGAATGTTTTATATTTTTTTTATTCATAGTCTATTATTTTTTTATCGATGGAGGTAATAATCAACAGTATTCTAATGTTAGGATAAAAATAAAAAAAGCTTATTTTTAAAAAATAATCTAATTAAAAAATGACTCGCACTTATTGATGGCACATAACTAGTTTAAGACATGTTGATATTACTAAGAGTGAGACATTTTTAATTAGTTTATTTGTTTGTAAGAAGTTAAGTATATTAGAATATTGTAGTTTTAAGAAAACCTTCCTATTTTATCACATGTTTTGCAACTATTTCATCTCGCGTAGTTTTATTAGATTCCGTATGTGTATATTAGAAATGTGATATTAAAATGAAATTATCTCGAAAGAATAACTAAATTTAAATGAAAAAAGTACAAAATGTTTTACATTATACCCATATCAAAACGACTGAGTGTTTTTTGTTAAACAATATTTGCTACTTTGTATGTAGTTTGTCTAGTAATAAATTATGTTGTCGTGCAATTTGTATGGGATCTTTGTATTATAAATGCATTTCCATTGTAGTTGACATGTTTATTGTATGCCATTATGACGTTACAGTCAATAAAAATGATACTCTACCTATTGAGTTAGTATTCATTTTAAGACTACACACCTTAAATGTACAGTCAGCTTCTTTCGCGGTGTGCCATTTACAAAAAACTAATATGTCCCTGCTATCATATCTTCAGACCTGGATTTAAAAGTCAAAACATTTCGATAAAATTCGAGATGAATAAAGGTTATGTAAATAAAATGTCTCAATAACAATTTTATTATTGCTTGTTATTCACATTAGGTAATACAAAATAAACTATGCACAAATTTAAGACCACACCGAAGTCATTTCATTTCATGCATCATTTTTCAAGACAAATTTAATCTTAACAAAGTAATATAATGTACAGTCGGCGGCAATATACTGATTGTGATGACACTTCATTTCGGTTATAATTACAACAATTGCCGTATGATCTAGATTAATTGCATTAAACATACTGTACAATTATGTTTCAATTATATGTAGCTCCATTATAAATATATTTACACAATATTAATATACTATTTTCTCTCATTAGCAAATTTTCTAAGATAAATTTGTTCTGCATAAACAATCTGCAGAAATACAAAAAGTAAGTATTTCTTATTGCCTTTACTAATTTTTAATGTATTTATCAAATTCATATCCACACAAGTACAGACAGCTGCATAAAAATAAAAACATTTAAAACTTTAGAAACTTGCATACATCTTTGGTTTCTAAAGTATGCATGCATGTAATGCATGAATACATGCTATTGACGAATACTTGCCTACATATTTTTGAAACCGAAGGCCTATACTTTCTCAAATTTAATTGTATAAATATTTATGCAGTTGACTGTACATAACTATTTTTTTTTTGTAGTCGACAATGAAATTAAAACATTTAAAATCAGAATGAAAAAAGAAATTGATTAGGCACTAGTTAATTCATTATAAATTCAGTTACATAATTAAACAATTATTACAATTTAAGACAAACACATTAAAAAAATTAAATAAAAAAAAACTTATATTTTTTAGAATAGATTTAGACTGGTCGTATATGGGACGGGAAACATTTGGTATGGGAATAGACAAACTCTAGCCATAAACTGTCCGTTATATAAACCTGTTGTGCAATATTTAATATTTGTTCATATCTACACGTAATTACAACGCTGACTTAATATTATTCTTATTGCTAATCTTACAGGCACTTTATACTGCTATTTAAAAAATCTCAATATAGAAATATGTGTCTACAAGTTATCAAAGACATTAACCGTGGGTTTCTGAAACCAATGTTTCTATATAAATCATATCATCTCAGTTATTATCTTTGACAAACTAGAGATAGCAATATGATTTAAACGGGTATTTTGGTCTCAGAAACTCATGATAAAACCGTTAGATCGCACGGTCTGTTACAATCACATACAAAACTTGCTGTCTCTTTGTCAGTGAGACTAAAAAATATTTTTATATTTAAATTTCAAAAGTGTGAATTCAACGAAGAAATTTTTAATAAAGTTTCTGATCTGAACATTTTAGAACACATTAAGTACAAATTATTTAAAGTAAAAAAAAAACAAGTAAGCAGGCTGAATTCATAGAATTTTTTGTACCATGAGTTTTTGTTACAAAGAGCTGCATTTATTTTTGTAAAATTAAAGACTTTAGAGATGTTATTCTTCGCAAGTATATATTTTAACGTAGTAATTTAGGCTAAAATATTATAACAGGGCAGTGTTTGATGTATATCGATAAGTTAACACAAAATTATAAGTATTTTAACATTCGTCATTGAATCTTAAAAGCCTCTAACGATGTCAAAATATTTAGACCGTTCCGACGAAGAGTTACATTTTATATGGGTCGATATGAGATGTAACCTTATTCGAAGGACGTCTTTTCGTATCTAGGACCAATACACAGATTTATCTTAACTTCACAAAATACGTCACAACCGTTTATGCCGATGTTTTTGATACAATTCTGCAATAAATCTCCACTACCGATGCATTTATACAAAAAAATCAAAGAAATTACATATTTTTTGTATAAACATTTAGACAATGGAATTACACAGTCGTTTGATCACTTTAAATTGAAGAAACATGGACGTTTTTAATAGGCAAATAACATTAATATTATTATGCCTATAGAAAATTTTCTATGCATTTTTTTATTAGTTCTTTAGTCTATTTTGCGCGGTAAAATTAACAACAAATATTCGTAATGGTGTGTAGAGAAAAAAGGCTGACTACTAAAAAAGTCTTATTCAATAAATTAGAAAAAAAAAGTTATTTTGGATTTCTCTATGGATTTTTATATTTCAGATTGCTTTCACTCATATTCGGATGTCATTATATAAAATGGTTTCATTATAATATAATCTCAAATATTCTACAATCTATCAAATATTTACAATTAAGCCTATACACGTTTATATTGTTAGAAAAATTGACAAACACCGTTATACTCTTATAGTTAGCAAAGCGTATGGATTCGTTCTTTTTTTTACATCACAAAACACGCATTAGACGCAAACTAGGGCACCAAAACATAAGTACATTATAACTGGTTATAAACGATCTCGCGACGTATCGCAAACATTTTATCAGATAATTTGAGCAAATATTACGAAGATTTTATGTACATAAATCATTTAGTCAACATTTCAATAATTTTAATTTCGGTTTATAAAACATACGATTTCTCTTGTAACGCTACATTGCTCGAAAATTGGCAGAAGAGTAATCTTGTACCGCGCAGGGCCGGTGTTAGGATAGGGCCCGGTTGGGCGACCGCCCAGGACGCTGAACAGAAAAAGTCGCCACATGTCTGCGAATTCATCTTAAATTAACTTTTAACAACCTTCCCTAAAGGTATGGTGGATAAGAAGGCGCCGTAGAAATCATGCCCAGGGCGCTAGTGCAGCTAAAACCGTTACTGCCTACGTGCCGAATCGACTGCTGGACATTACAAATGAAGAGAATAAATCATTTGATATTTGCTTGCAATTTTGTGCACAATATCTTCGTAATTTGCTTTTATTATAATTTATTCAATTAGAAATCACATTTATTTTGTTCTTAGGCTTAAAAAATATTTTAAATTAGAAATTACATCAAAATAATTTCATATTTAAATATAAATCATTTTCAAAATATTGTATTAGTTAATTTGAAAAAAAAAAGTAAAAAAATCTACATTTGTGAATAATTAATCAATAAATTTACATATTTCATCATAATTTTACCATAAGGCGGAAATTTTAATACTAACAGATATTTACAGTATGCACAAATAAAACATAAAACAACACACGACTCAAAACAGAGAGTTACATTACATATTGCTTCGTTTCGTTGCCGGTAAATTTATCTAATAGACTAAAATTGCTTTACCAAGTATATCTGACACAAAAAACACGAAAATAAATCAAACACGGGCATGAAAAGAAAAAAAAAACATATTTCTATGGGCATATTTGTCAAACACATAAAACATTTTAAAAAGTCTGTGTTCTTATTTTAAACTAGCAACACTAGACAGTTCATTAAACAATCAAATGTCAACCTTAATCTAATGTCATAAGGTTACACTTCAAATGGCATAACTTATGATTCAATTGATTGGTAATAAATAAATAATGAAAATAAAAATAACAGACTAGCTACAGACTGTCTGCATATTGTTTCACTCAATATTTCAATGACAAAAAAGAGACACACTATATACCAACAAGCGGAATTAGGGAGATATTTGCTATCTCACTCACACATAGGGGTAATATTATGATGTCCTTTTTCCCCTTAAGCTGTCAATATTTAAAGCTTAGCATACACAAATAGATCAAACTATTCACACTTGTTTATGTGTCATCTAAATTGGACCAAGGCAAATATTTCCCTTAATCCGCATTATCAGAGAAATACTGTGACCTCTACTTTACCAATGATTAGTTACAACCTCACATGACTCTAAAGCACTGAACTAATATGGAAAAAGAATAACAATTCCATAAAAGTACTTTGTCAAATAGTAAAAATAGTCCCTTGTGATGATGCAAGTACAGGCTCATATAAGTGGCAGGAACACTGGTGGGTTTACATTGGCGAATCGCTATGGCTTAAATTTTACCAAAGGTATATTTTTTGAATGCAGGCACTTGTCACATACCCACTCTGCATAAACTTCTGCTGTCAAGAGCTGAAACGCCGGCTCCGTTAAACCCGTACAACCTCTGAAAATATTAACGGAGTTAATAAGACCCTAATTTCTATACTACTACAATTCTTTGTTTGTTTCTAGCAACTTGACCCAGCTTACTTTATAGAATTAATAGCTGTCATAATGTCTATCATGGTTCAGCCATTTTAGAGATACCTTCAAAGAAACATCCATGCAACCATCCATCCATCTAAACATTCGCATTTATAATATTAGTAAGATAAAAATATGACCTAAGTTATTTACAGATGGAAAGGTAGAGTATTATTTATATTTCATTAGTTTAGTAGTTTTTGAGTTGAGTTGAGTTTATTTCAAACAAATCTGATATATTAATAGTATGTAATTTTAGTTTTAATAGTTCTTACAATCACATAGATAATAAATTCAAACAAAAACAGTCTCACCTGTGAAACCAAAAGTTGCATCCTGATTCACATAATATTGCTTGATCATTATCATGTACCTCTTTATGACACACTCCACAAGGATATATTGGTGGTGCATTGGGATTTTGAGGGTTAAATACCATAGGTTGATCGGGAGGATATACTTTTCCTGCACTCACTGGCATAGGCTTAGGCCCAAACATGCTCATATTTTGACCCATTGGACCTTGCCCTCCAGGACCACCCATGGACATTCCGCTCATGCCACCTAGAGGCCCACAGTTACCCATATTACCTGGACCCATACCCATAGAACCACTGTTTCCCATACTCATTGGGCCTCCATGACCCATATGGCTGCTGGAATATGGAGGTCCGGGGCCCATTGAAGTCATAGGTCCATTGTTACCCATTGGTCCACCTCCCATTCCTGAACCCATTGGACTGCCATGTCTCATAGGACCACAGTGTGTGGGTCCCATTCCTCCAGATTGCATTGGACTTGGTGACATAATAGAACTGCTAGGTCCCATGGAACCATTTGAGCAGTTTGGGCCCATTGGTCCATTCATTCTTGAAACATTCATACCAGGCCCTCCTCCACCCATCGGTCCATTCATTGATCCAGCACCAAGTGGACTGTGCATTGGTGGCCCCATAGGACTGTTACCCATGTGACTGCCTGCCATAGAACCCATATTCATAGGGCTTCCCATTGGACCGGATGACATAGGAGAACCCATTGGCATTGAATTCATTGGGCTCATTGGACTTCCCATGGATCTTGATGGTCCCATTCCAGGCCCCATACTATGATTACTCATTCCCATATTCGGGCCTCCCATAGGAGACATACCACCCATATGACCCATGGGGCTCATATTACCCATAGGACTAATTCCTCCTCTAGGGGGCATCTGCTGGTTCATAGGACTCATATTATGTGGTAGGGGACTCATGTGCCTCATAGGGGGACCACCCATGTTGTGCATGGGACCCATCATGCCCATTGGTCCGTTTTGGCTCATCATGGGACCATTTTGACTCATCATTGGGCCATTATGTGAAACTGTTGATGGGGAGTCATCAAAAGGATTAGACGCCACGATAGTATCCCCATATCCAGTTAGTGGTGGTGGTAATAAGTCTTGAGCGGTAGGTGGTGGCTGAGGAGTTAATGCATTATTCGCATTAGATGTTTTTCTCCTCTTTTTGGGATTGCTTGGTGCTGGGGCTGGTGGGGTAGGAGTATCCATGGGTGGCTTGAAATCCGAAGGCCCTAATCCTGGCCCTGACATCCTGTAAGATGGCATTCCTGCCAGATTATGACTCATTTTGATTTTATACTGAATCGCGTCTTTTAACCATCATTACAAATATATCGTATTAGTTAAAAAAAGATCCACATATAAGGCACCTCATTGTTTCGGGGAAGCGTAAATACGTGCCGGAAGACTGGTTGCGTCTATATCTGTAACAAAAATATTACTGTATATCTTGCATTTTAATACTAAAATGGCACATATTTTACTGTATATGATATACATATTACGATGCTGTTGTTGTTCAAGACATAAAATAGTTAGAATTTCAAATGTTATTCTGAGAAACAGAAACAGTACCCAGTGATAATTTGTTATAAAAAGTGAAAAAAAGCCCTTTTTGAAGGTAAACCACACTACTAAATGATGAGTCGTAATTGGCAAACGTAGTATTTAAATGTAGCTTACAGCATTATCAATTCAGGATCAGAATAAGTGATTATTTTTTGTCCTCGTCCAGACCCCAAGGCGTGCAGCATATGACAAATACCAAAAGTAAATCACCTCTCACATTAAGTTGTTGTCATCCGTTTAAGGTCCATTGGTGTACTTCTATTTTACTATACATGAAGACCACTAATAACAAGAAATATCAACATATTGCAAGCATTTTTATTTACGACTCACGATAATCCAAACAACACACGCCACATTCACGATGTATTTTTAGCAGATAATTACCGCTAGGGGTCGTCGCTTGTCATTTAAAAAAATATTGAGGCAACGACACACGTTTTCTGCCGGCTTTTGATAATTTCAACAAATTAAGAAGCTACGATTCTATTAATTCGTGTTTTAATTAATGTGGCTTGTATGTTTTAAATATACATTACTATTATAAATAAGGTTTATCGATTTGCGTTATGAGGATTTATAAAATTCTGGCAATATTCGTAGTAAGTTAGACCAGAGTATATAAAATAAGAGACGGGACTCTTGACTAATTAGATACACAAACGGAGAATAAAAATTGTCATTTTCAATGCTAGCAATATTATGAACAAGTCTACGTTGCTACCAACCTAAAAAAATCAATCTGTTAGTTTCCTTTTTGACGTTTGAAAGTATTATTCGAGGGAAAACAATTTAGGAAAAATAAAACCATTTCGTTAATTGCAACTTTAATTTAATCTTCTGACTAAAGCGAACATATTTTAAGAACGCAACATAATGCTCACTGCTTTCGTAATAATACCATTATTGTTTAGTTCACCAACAAAATACCCCAACTTTGATAAATGCTTATTTGTTCCAGTTTGTTTATTTGAGTGTATGAGAGTGTCACTCTCGTCGGGAGAAATAGAATAACACTGGAAAGAGATTAGCTCCTATCTGTTGGTAAAATATTTAGAAAATTGCTAACAAGACAATATGCATTGAATCAAAACAAATCATCATCAAGCTCACTATACGGACACACTATGCTCCACTGAGGAGCTCGGAGCCTGCCCTCAGGAATGCGACTAGGTCTTATTCAACAACGCAGAGCCAGTGAGGGTTGGTTGCCTTCACACATAGCTTTGAATATCTATGCAGTTGTATGCAATTTGTAATTACAGTAAGAATGTCGGATGGATGTTAAATTCGAAGAACGCATTACTATATAGCGGAGATCGTACCTGGATATGTAAAATATGATCCGGTCAAGTGCCAACTGTACTGCCGACGCTCCAAATAGTCCCCTAATCCAAACTTCCTATCAAAACATTGCAAATGTACAAACTCATGTTAAATATTATGTAATGTAAAAACGGAATACAATATTATTTTTACTTCTCAAATAAATTCATAAAATTATCATGAACCTAAAGATTCCGCATATTAACTTTTTTGTTATTACTATTCTCCATAGATGTTTAACCTATAGATTCCTTAATGAGAAAAATAATGAGCTTAGGAGGCATCATTTTGGGGTAAAAGACCTGTGTTGAAATTTAAATTACTTGTAAGAAAATTGTATACAATCTCTGTTTATTTTTTATTACTTAGTTCAAAAAAAGTTTAAGCTATATTATAAGTTGTGATATTTGTAAAATCCAAATTTAATAAATTAATTTTGTTTCATATTGTTCACTAAATGGTATTTTTTTATCTTTTGTACTTGATACTTAATTCCCTATATTTTAGTATATTTTTATTTTCTATACACTGCATTTCCCAATTTCGAGAAAATCTTATTATGCTAGTGTATATTTTATATTAAAGTCTAATACATATTTCTAAAAATTGACATATTATTAACATCAAACTAAAATAAAACACTAAATCTATAGGTTACACATCTATATATCAATATTGATATTAATATAATTACTAGCATTTCCTGCATGGTGACTCTTTTTTAGATTTGCGGTTAAACTACTCCATATAAAAAGTTATTTTTCAAAATTTAGTTTAGAATTACAACAATCAAACTTTGTAGCACAGATGTTGCAGCGACATGCAGTCAGTAATTCTGAAGCAGATTCCTTCATTTAATAATTCTGTAGACCTTGAAGAGGTGCATTTATTCATCTGCAACAGAATGGAATTGTAATTAATTGATTCAAGTGTACAACATAATCAATTTAATTATTGCTTTTCACCTAATTACATACCTTATTAAAAAAACTGGTTTTCTTTGATTATATGGATCTCTCCCCATTTACTTACAAAACTTCTTTGCAATTCTCTACAATGATGGAACTCGCAAACCATGCAAAAAAATTATGATGTTTTGACAGGTACAAATAGGAACTTTTATTGTCTGCCCATTTTTGTGAAATGTTTATGATAGAATCATAAATCAAATTAGTTTGAAAAACTTGTCATGACATGACCAATTTACAGGTTGATCTACAATATTTGAAACAATAATAAAGAGATATTCTACACACAACCGAAATAATGTTTAAGTTAAGTTTTATTATTGAATCTTTTTCATGTTTCGTGCAAACCATTTTATACTAAATATCAAGCCAATAAAAGGTTAAAATTGTTCAAGTAATTGCTGGAAATATGTGCTTTGGGAATTACTTAATATTTACCACTTACCTTGAAGAATTTGGCATGTCTTGTACTTACTTTTATGTTATTTTCATCAATTTTGATTGTAAATTTATTTTTCAGCCATCAGCCTTCTTCTTCTTCTTCTTCTTCTTCTTCTTCTTCTTCTTCTTCTTCTTCTTCTTCTTCTTCTTCTTCTTCTTCTTCTTCTTCTTCTTCTTCTTCTTCTTCTTCTTCTTCTTCTTCTTCTTCTT